GGCAGCTTAGGAACCAGGCAAATCTCAAGAAAGTTATGTCTTTTGGGCACTGGAACCCAACTTCCAGATGGATTTATTAATAGTATAAGAGGGTGGCTGAGAAAACTCTACTTTCCTTTTTGCTCTGACCACCAGGAAGCTCAAAGCCAAGTCTATGGCTCATTTGCACAGGAGGTTATGGTGTCATCAGCTCTAGATTCCCCTTGTTTTCCTACCTCTGTTCTCTACCGCTCCCCTCCTGTTTCCTTATGTAGTTTATAATATAATCTCCCCAAAAGGTTTCTTGGAATGAAGTGGGGTAGAAATAAATGAAATAATAAATTTGTTAATAGAAATTCACAAAATAATAATTTCCTCCTTAAAAACTAAGGTTTACAAGAAACTTTGGGTGTCATCTAGGGAAGCCCTCTGTTTCTAGGATTAAAGGAGTTAATACATTTTAAGTGGAAAATATATATACACTATATATATATATTCCTCATAACACCCTCAGTGTGGGTTCAAGGGCTTTTCAGGGCACAGATGAAATATGAATAGTGGTCTTACTAAAAACGAGGCAGGCTGCTCTTGCAGCTACAGATCAAGAGGAAAACAACTATGGAAATGACTTCTCTAAGGAAGGCACGGGGACAGGGTTGATTTCAGGCAGACACTGTTACTATTCCCATTTTACAGATGAGGAAACTGAGGCACAGCGAGGTTAAGTAACTTGTTAAGGTCACACAGCTAGAAGTGATAGTGCCAGGATTTGAGCACAGGTAGTCTGGCTCCAGAGCCTGAGCTCATAATCACGATATTACACTGCCTCTATAAAAACATAACACACAGTATTAGCTAGTATTTCAGCAAGGATCATTATTCCCTCAGTGAAGGGCTATCCCTGCTTCTCTTGGTCATCTGTTTCAGTCTCACAATTCCTATATTAAGAAATTCTCCCTTAAATCTAGCCCAGGGCTGGCCAATGGATGTCAGCTTGAGCAGGGACTCCAGTGGATTGGGAGTGACTGATAGATTGTGTTAAAAAGCCTCCTAATTGATTAGCAATGTCTGCCACGGGCAAGAGGGGTGGGGCAGTGGTGGCCACAAATTTACTTCCACTTAAATAGTTCCTGCCGAAGCTTCACTCCATCCTCCGTGCTTGTGTTCTCTAAGGCACTGGCTGGCCTGTGCCCATGGGAACCTGGTGTTCCGGCTGGAGGACAGAGCCAGCCCCTGACACACACCCAGAGGGCAGCAGACAGGCCTCTCGCTAGCCCTCACCTCTGGTCCCCGCACCTCTTCTTTTGCAGGAAGCAGAGAACTGGGATGAGGAGGTGATTCCCACCCTGGCCAGCTGCCCGCTTCCTCCTCCTCAGGCCTTGGGGTTTCGGCCAGCGCTGGGAGAAGAGTCAGGGGTCCCCTCCTGAGTTGGGCTCAGAATGCGGGGAGAGCTACCTGGCCCCCCTCACTCTGCAGGCAGAGACAGTGAGCAGAGACTCATGTCCTCCCTCTCACGTGCTCCTTCCCCGCAGACCCCAGGAGTGGCAGGACCCACTCTGGCTGTGGACAGTGGCTGGGTCACAAGCTCTCAGAATGCTAAATTCCCATGGAGGGAGGGATTCAGAGCCCAGGCTGCCGGGCTGAGCCCCAGCATCCTGGCCCTGGGGACACAGAGCACGCAGGAGGCCCCAAGAGGGGGAGGCGAGGGCTCTTGTGGCATCCTCAGAATGAGGCGGGGGGAAGCAGCCACCTCCAGCAGGTGGAAGTTCCCTACAGCAGAGTTTACTTTGGAAGACGGATGACAGGGATTGATGTCTGACATCCCAAACATGCCATGATAAATCACCCCTCCTCCTTTCAAGGAATGACACGATTTCCCCCTCACCGTGACTGATCAGTCAGGGGGCTCAGTGGGACCCTCAGCGTGGGTTCAAGGGCCTTTCAGGGCACAGATGGAATATGAACAGTGGTCTCACTAAAAACGAGGCAGGCTGCTCTTGCAGCTACAGATCAAGAGGAAAGCAACTATGGAAATGACTTCTCTAAGGAAGGCATGGGGACAGGGTTGATTTCAGTAGCCTTGAGAAAGATCTGATGCTGAGGGCTAGGCCCTTTCAGCTCCACTCCCCAGCTCCCCCAGCGCCCTCTGGGGCTTTTGTTGGGATATCAAATACTGTCCCTCAAAGAACGGTGCTCCTGTTCCCGGGATCCATTACTTGGAGGAGACAGTCTCCTTGGGCTCTTCTCATGTTCTTTGGAAATGGCTCCACTCCCCCCGCCCAGCCTGGGCCTCAGAGCGAGGCCGGGAAGGAGAGAGGCGTGCTGCCTAGAACTTATGTGCTGTCTCCCGATCTCACCGGCTGCATAGCTCTCCCTTACATAACCCCACCACTGCCACCACCCCCAAAGCGACTCGGCCACGGAGTTGCCCACGCAGGGGTGTGGACAGAGTCCTCCAGAGCAGGCCACTCCTGGAGCCAGCTTGCCGACCTGTTTTCAGAATGCGAGGAGACCATTCAAGGAGCAGAATGGAGGAGAGATGACCCCTTTCTTCTTTCTAATGGCTTTGACTCCAGTTGCTTCTTTGGGGGACAACAGAGCTGGGCTAACAAGGGGCAGGCCAGCCTTTCAGATTGAAATTCAGGGCCTGATTGAAAACAGTTGCCCAGGGGCAGCTGTTGTCTTGTCCTGGAGGGGTGCAGAAGCCGCGGAAAGCCGAGTGGGGCCTCCTTCCCCGTGTAAGCATTCCGGTGGCACCTCGCAGAAGAGTCTGCACAGGGCCCCTGGCGAACAGCAGGGGCCAGCGGTCAGTGCCCCCACCCGGGACCCCGTTACCGGCAGGTGACATAGGACTTTCAGACGCATGAGCCCGAGCTGCGGCTTGAGTACTTACAGGAGGTCCTGAAAGAGAGAGAGAAAATGCCCGGGTCAGTGTCACCGCCATAGGGGGCCGCGGGGAGGCGGCCTTAGAAGCAGCGTCCAAGAATTCTTCAGCGAGGGGTTTCCGTCTGGTCTTTGAGGTTTGTATTTTCCTGGCCCACTTTCACCAATATAAGCTCTTCCCCCTTTATTTCATCTCCATATTTTCATTATGGGATGAGAAATCCAGAGTCTGGGCCCCAGGATCAGCCAAGCCAGGGACCTAATGGTGGTCCCCCCGCCTCAGCCTCCCACCCTACAAAATGGGCTTTTCAGGACCTCCCCGAACGCGTGCACAAGGCAGCTTTGTAGAACATGGGACGGTGGGCACTGAAGCACACTAAGAAAGGTCAAGCTAACAGACGCTAAAGAGATTAGGATCATTTTTTATGCCCGCTGTCCTCGCCAAGCATCCCACGAAACGCAGTGGCAAGCCAGCAGGCAAGGGTAGGGCGGAGGCAGCCCCTCCCCGGGCGCCCTGCCTGATGTCTATCGGGCCTGTCCTGGTTTCTGTGAAGCAATGAGTCAGGCCCCCCTGCCCTCCTGGGTCTGCCGCCCACCTCTGGGCTCAGCCCCACCCTCCCTCCACGCCCCTCTCTGTCCTCTCTCTTCCCCGGTGTGTCCACTTGCCCTCCCCCGTCCCCTGGGCCTCAGCGGCAGCCCTATCCCATTACTGGCAGCAGCCAAGAATTACAAATTCAAGTGTTCCGAGGAGGCAGCAAAAGGGGGTGGGGGGCTGGGGGAGGGAAAGACGAGCAAAGCAGCCCAGAAAGATCTCGAAGGGAGAGGCGCTCCCGTGAACGTAAGCTGCGAAAGGCCGGCAGATCCCCAGCCGGGCCTGGCGTGTGTGCCCGGCCCCTGGCGCTCTGGCCACGTTAACTCAGCTGTGACTCCTGTTGCTGCTTTTATGCTGGGCCAATAAAGACTCTTGACGTTTCCCCTCACTCCGCACGTTCCCAAAGCTGCTCCCTGCTCTCCTGCATCCGCCCGCTGCACTGCCCTGGTCCCCATCCAGGAGGAAACAGCCTCTTTCATGCTGGCCTCTGTCAAGCCATCACGTTACGGAGGAACAAGATGTTTTAAATTGAAAACAACAAAAAAAAGTCAAGAGGTGTAGCGACTGGGTGAGCAAGCCCCAGGCGGGCGGCAGGCCTGCACGCAGGCTCCCAGAACATGCGGGGGCGGGCGCATCTGGGACCTGTTAGGCTGAGGGGCAGGGAATGTCACCCAGAATCTGAAAATATCCCCCGAATGCAGCCTGCCAGAGGGGCCAGCCCAGCTGGAAAGTCCTAGTCTCCTGGCCAGGGAAGTGTCCTCACATGAGAAGCAGGCTGGTGACAAAGTTTAGCTTGTGGCAATTTTCAGATGGCTTGGCCACATGGAGGGAAGATGCCGTGCGCCTGCCGGGCTCCCACTGCAGCAGGCTCTGGAGTCGTCCCCAGTGACACAGGCTGGAGCTCTGGCGGCAGCCCTGTCTGTCGTTAGCAGTCTTGGCTGTGTAGGTGTCTCCCAACGTGCACAGGTAGCTGCACGGGACTCAGCTCTCAGCCGAGTCCCAGAAGTGCAGTCGGCTGGGTCCACCTCTGAGTGATGTAAATCCTACATCCCACCACTATCGCCGTCACTGCACACACCTCCGCAGGCCTTTCTAGGTGCCAGGCACGATTCTAAGTGTTTTCCATTATGAAGTAGGTTCTATCGTCCCGACCTTGCAGTTGGAGAAACTGAGGCACAGAAAGGCTGAGCGACGCCCCAGGGCTAGCTAGTCACTGGTAGAGCTCCCGACCCTTCTCTGCAATGTCTCTCTCTGTGCCTCTCAGTCTGAAAGCTGCCCACCCCGCCCCCAAACCGCCTGCAGACCAAGTCCTCTCCAAGGCTTTCCCTGGGACGCTGTCACGGTCAGCCTCTGGACTCTGGACTCAACCCTCTCATCTCTGTTTTATGGGCTCCTTTGTCTTACGTGAGGGAATTTGGCTCTGCCAAGCTCTTCCAGGCTCCCACTCCCCCCACCAGTCACTTACGGGGGCTTCAGCAACAGGAAAAGCCTCTGTTAGCTGATTCCGTGCTGTAGGGAGGGGATGAGATGTGGGGGAGTTATAACGAATGGTTTTCTCTGCCACAAACGTTCTTCCCCTGGCATGACGGTCCTCATGGGTCCCTCTGGAAAACCTTTAGACCCTTTGGAAAAGGCAACCACCATCCTGCCACTGCCAACTTTGATCGCGTGAACAGGGGTGTGGCGGGAGACCCTAGACTTCAAAGCAGATGCTCCCCCTGATGCTGTGCTCAACTCCTGGCAGCTCTACGGCACCGGGGAGCCGATGGCCTTGCAAAATCTAACAGTGCCCGGATGTCACCGGCTGGTCTCCCACATGGGCCGCTTGGCTGTGCTCAGTAATGTGACTATTGCCTGACCCATCATCACCCTGGCCAGGCACCAAAGGATAGAGTCACCCAAGGCATCCGAGTGCCCATTACAGATGAAGAAAGAGACACCCAGGGAGGTGGCTGTTTAGTGTCACTTTGTGGGTGGGTGATGGGGGTGGGACCAGAACCCGGGCTCCTGACTCCCTGTGTAGGAGTCTTCCTAACAAAGCACACTGTTTCTCATGACCTGCGTAGCGGATCCTGCCGAGGGACAGCCCACACTGCCACACCGAGGGAGGAGGAAAACACCTGGACCCCCCCGTGCACCTGCTGCTGGCCTTGAGAGGATTAGAAGATTGTCCCAGCCCCCTAGGGTGGGCTGAGTGGCCTGCAGCAGGGCTCCCAGGGAAGGGTCCACAGCGGCCATCCAGGGTGGGGACATTCTGTCTGAGACCTTCCTCCTGATGTCTGTCACCCACTGCCTCAGCTTCCTGCTAAGGGCCCCAGGGTTTGGCCCACCTCTTCCAAGTAAGGCAGCCCTGTTCCCCCTAAAGGGACACGCAGGGACGGACCCCCGTGAAGACTCCTGAGGAGGCAATCTGGGTTGTGTCGTTCTTTCAACCACTCTTTATTTGTTCCTTCATTCATTCACTCATTCATTCAACAAACATTTGACCAACACCTACAGTGCGGCAGTCCTGTGCCGGGCCATGGCTATCCAAAGATGAATAAGGCACAGTCATTGTCCTTGAAGGCAGGAAAACTTCATTTTTTTAAGCACTTATTATCTCCCAGGCCTGATGCTAAGCTCTGGTGATACAGAGATGAATAACTCATTTCCTCCCACTGAGAAGTCAACAGTTTCCTACGTTAGAAAGCTGGAGAGATTCCAGAGAAGAGAACAAAAACGAACGTGAGGGTTTAACGGAGAAAGTTGTGCTATAGGAGGATTGATAGCACCTGATTCTTAACATTTTATTAGTTTTACTTTTTAGCTTTAATTTCCGTATAGTAGAGCCTGGATTTGAACCTGGTCTCTCTTACCCCAAAACCCGTGCTCTCCTGGCTGGAGGTCATGAAGGTCCTCACGGGCAGAAGGGCTGCTTTGGCTCTCAGCCCCTTCTAGTGTGGGCAGGTGAGCCCGAGCCCCCTCCCCCGTGGGCTTGGCCCCGCCCAGTCTCTGGATCCAGTGCTGGCCCTGGACACAGGGAGTAAAGAGTCACAAGGTGCTCCAAAGTTCAATGTCATATGAGCTGTCTCCTGACCCTGCCTGGCCCTGGGCTCCCAGCAGCTGGGGTCCTAGCTCTGATCCACGCCTCCCGGTGCCTGTGCCAGTCTGCCTGCGGCTGACCACCTGCCACTCGGCTCTGCCAGATGCCCAGCCCACCCATCTATGCCAGGACAGATGCTCCGCGTCCTGGGCTCTCCTGCACATGGGGTGACTGACAGCACTGGTCACATGCTGCCTGCTGGAGCAGGGGGTCTCAACCGGGGGTGATTTTGCCCCCCCAGGGGACAGTTGGCAGTGTCTGGAGACATTTGTGATCTCACAGCTGGGAGGCTGCCACTGGTCTCTAGCGGGTACAGACCAGGGACGCTGCTACATAGCCAGTGCACAGAGCCCCCTAGAACAAAGACTCCCCTGGCCCCAAATGTCCATAGTGCTGGGGGTGAGAAACCCGGTGCTGGACAAACGGGACCAGACCTGCCTCAGGGCTCTCCCTGTCCCCACAACTCACACCCTTGCCCATGCCCCTTTGCCAACTTTTGGGATCCCTTTCTTCTATATAGTTTGGCTTGTTCTACCCCCACCCAAGACGTTGTTAGGACAAATAATTATTCATTTATTGAATATTTATTCTGTGCCTGACACTATGGTAGGAACTTTACATGCCTTATTTCACTTAGTCTGCCCCAAAACCCAGTGAAGTAGCTACAATGATTATTGTTCCCATTCTACAGATGAAAGAGCTGAGGCCCAGAGAGTCGAAGGTGTGTGTTCAAGGTTGCAGAGCTCATGCAGCCTGAGCTGGCACTTGAGCCCAGGTCTGCCTGTCTCCCAAGACCACGGGCCCCTGAAGCTTGAAGGAGGTGCACACAAGAGAAGTAAAAGAAACAACCTCCGCCTCAAAGAGCAGCGATGGAGGGAAACATGAGTAGCTTCACAAACCATGGAGAGAAATCCATCAGTGGCAGGCATGATGGCCTGTTAAGGGAAACCAAACGAGCTTCAAGGCAGCCTCTGTCCTTTGAGGTTGACATAAAAGAGAACAACCGAGCCCTGTCTCTTACAGCCCTGGGGTCCAAACTCTGATCTTCCAGGGAGGGCTAAGGCAGGCTTCTGGGGTAGACCATCTGATCTGAAGCCCTGGGAGCTTGTCTGACAAATTGTGCTTTTAGACCAACAAAGCACTTACATCACAGCTCACCACAACCCAACTTCTATTTTATGGATGAGGAAACTGAGGCTCAGAGAAGGGATATAACTCACCTGTGGTTCATGTCTGGTAAGTGATCCTGAATCCTAGTCTAGTGTTCTTCCCAGAACAGCCCACCATTGGCAGAGGTGGGGTGGTGGGAGGTTTTACATTTCAAAATTATGTATATATAATAAC